CTGTGAGGAGAGACCGTCACACCCAGATCCTGTGAGGAGAGACCTTCACACCCAAAACCCGTGAGGAGAGACCTTCACACCCAGAACCTGTGAGGAGAGACCGTCACACCCAGAACCTGTGAGGAGAGACCGTCACACCCAAACCTCTGAGGAGAAAAATGGTGACCAGAACAAGACTCATAAGCAACCCTTGGACCGAGACCACTGCCTGTCATACTGACTATTATCGTCTCCTTGTTTCCATGTACTCTCTGTCTGTCTCCATCTGTTGTCTCTTGTCTTATACTTAGTCTGGAAACTCTTCGGGGCAGGGACCATCTTTTTGTTCTATGTCTGTAGAGCACCTAGCACCATGGGGTGCCGGTCCATAACTAAGGTACCCAGCCTCTACGGTAATAATCATAATAATTAATAATAAAATCAGTGGGCACTGCCCAGCCCCTACAGACAGCTTGACAAAAGCAAACCAGCGTGTGCTGCCCAGTCTACAGGAGTTACCCCAAAAGCCAGTGTGTGCAGCTCTGTGCTCAGGAGAAACCCTACAATAACAAGCCACTATACGCAGTCCAGTGCTCCCGGGCTCCTCTGCTGCACAGCGTGCTCACCCGCCCGCCCGCCCGCCAAGGGCTCAGTACACAGAGTCCGAGTCTTCGAGTGGCAGAGACCTTCCAGCCCTGTGACGTTGGACTCAATCTGCCCACGACCCGTCCCTTGCTCCTTAAGTCTGCACTGTGTTTCTAATGCCTGGAACTGGTGCCACTGGACACACAGCGAAGAAGTCTGCAGTTTTCATGGGTTGTACTATGAAGCGAGTGGAGCACTGAAGATGAAAGGACGTAGAAGGGAGGAGATGGAGAAGGGGAAACACACCAGCTCTTCACTTCTGGAGACAGGGAGTGAAATCCGGACTCCTTTGAAGTGAGTGGCAAAATTCCTATAGACTTCAGTGGAGCCCGGATTTCACCCCAGCCTCTGCAAATCTGGGTGAGGTTAAAAGTAGAAACCAAGTTTGGAGCCTTGGCACATTCATCCAAACAACACTTGTCCCCCTCCCCACACAGCCCCAAAGCTCCACTAAGAAAGACTCAGAACAGAGTTGGCCAAAACCCAGAATTTCCATCCCGCAGGAAATTCCAAGCTTTTGAAATCTGGCATCACCCTAAATGCGGCTGAAAGGCTGAAAACTCAGAATTTTTTACGAAAAGAAATATTCTGGAACTATTTTGTTCCAACCGTCTCAAAATCTAAAAGGTTTTGACTTTATTGTTTTACCTAATACAATATACTATACAAGTCAAAATGATTATGTCGAAACAAAACATTTTGACCTTATTGAAATGAAACATTTAGTTAATTTCCCACAAACATTTTGACAAAATTGCTACCTTCCTGCAAAACGTTCCAAATTCATTGAATCCCCATTTTCCAACTGTAGTTTGCAGTGTTGTTGTAGCCGTGTTGGTCCCAGGATATGGGAGGGGCAAGGTGGATGAGGAAACATCCTTTATTGGACCCACTTCAGTTGGTGAAAGAAACACGCTTTTGGGCACCAAGAGCTCTGTGTAGTTTGAACGCTTGTCTCTCTCACCAACCGAGGTTGGTCCAATAAAAGCTATTTCCTCACCCACCTTGTCTCTCTCATGTTCCAACTGAAAGCTGTTCCGCTGGAAATGTTTTGACCAGCTGCAACTCAGGACTGGGATAGCTGGCGGTGCTGCAAGTCAGGGCTGAGGGACACCAACAGAGCTGTGTGTGAGGAGGCCAGGTGATGTTGCAGGTGACAACTGAGGTGCAGCTAAATCCTTATCCCCACAGAGTCTGAGCACGTCATCACCATCAATAGAACTTTATCCTCCCAACACCGCTGTGTGGTAGGGAAGTATCATCCCACTTTACAGATAGGGAACCAAGGCACAGGGCAGATTAAGTGACTTCCCCAAGGTCACACAAGGAATATGTGGCTTAGGCAGGACACCTGGTCTCCAGAGCCTCAGTCCAGCGCCCAATTCACTACACCGTCCTTCGAACAGCAGCTGAGCTGCATTTGGGGGAAACATGCAGGTCACTTAGCCCCACCGCCTCCCGCAAGCCAGCGCTATCGGCTCATCAGTCTCTGCAGTGCTACCGTGTGAAGAAAGAAAGAAAGAAAGAAAGAAAGAAAGAAAGAAAGAAAGAAAGAAAGAAAGAAAGAAAGAAAGGAAGTTGCAAACCAGTAAGCAGCGGCAGCGGCAGGAGTGGAGATGCACTGCGACCTCCCGCCCCAGCGCTGCTCTTCCCCGGCACCGTGACCTCTGTGTGCATGAGGAATAACAGCAGTAACGGGAAGGATGTGAAACCCAAGGGGCAGGGATGCCAGGCTGATCAATGGCTCCGAGGAGCCGGCACTCAGTGCCATTAGAGAGGTAATTACCTGTGACAGGTGTCCAACTTCCAGGTAAAAGCAGATGATGAATGCGTTCCATCCAACCCACAGCACCAGCCACGCTGCATACTGGGGAGAGAAAGAAACAGAGGCTCAGAAATGCCGAAGGGCAAAACAGCCCTTAGCAGCCGGAGAGAGAAGCAGCTGGGCAGTGGCGTGGGGCTTTTCCAGGGGGCTCTGCCCTCGGGCAGGGCATCCGAAAGAGACCAACAGCGTTCAGATTTCTTCCGCACCCGCTTTCTGCCCTGAGCCAAATCCCACTGAGGTCAAGGGGAGTCTTTCTGCTGACTTCAAGGGGCTTTGGATCAGGCCTTACGCACATGGGCCTTGCAGAAAGAGACAGCCACATGCACCACGCGTTTGGGCATGCAGAACCCGGGCTGGTGCATGAGCTCCCATCGCTGCCTGCAGCTACCCAGCACGCACAAGCAAACGCACTGTTTAATGAGTAATAAACCCAGCTCTGCTTTCACAGACACCAGATTTACACCAAACTTCAGTGGGGTCACCCCTGGTTTAAACCAGAAGCAGGGACAAGGTGATCAGGCCCAGTGTTTGTAATCTGTTGGCCCCAAAAGCACACGGGGCTCTGGAAATGAAAATCTGTTATAATTTATCACATACCTGCAGCACCTTACAAATATCAGCTAATTAACCCTATAATGCCACACACACTCCCACACACTGCCACACACACTCAACAGTGTGCCCTTGTTGCCAAGAAGGCTAATGGCATTTTGGGCTGTATAACTAGGGGCATTGCCAGCAGATCGAGGGATGTGATCATTCCCCTCTATTCGACATTGGTGAGGCCTCATCTGGAGTACTGTGTCCAGTTTTGGGCCCCACACTACAAGAAGGATGTGGAAAAATTGGAAAGAGTCCAGCGGAGGGCAACAAAAATGATTAGGGGTCTGGAGCGCATGACTTATGAGGAGAGGCTGAGGGAACTGGGATTGTTTAGTCTCCAGAAGAGAAGAATGAGGGGGGATTTGATAGCTGCTTTCAACTACCTGAAAGGGGGTTCCAAAGAGGATGGATCTAGACTGTTCTCTGTGATACCTGATGACAGAACAAGGAGTAATGGTCTCAAGTTGCAGTGGGGGAGGTCTAGGTTGGATATTAGGAAAAACTTTTTCACTAGGAGGGTGGTGAAGCACTGGAATGGGTTCCCTAGGGAGGTGGTGGAATCTCCTTCCTTAGAGGTTTTTAAGGTCAGGCTTGACAAAGCCCTGGCTGGGATGATTTAGTTGGGAATTGGTCCTGCTTTGAGCAGGGGGTTGGACTAGATGACCTCCTGAGGTCCCTTCCAACCCTGATATTCTATGATTCTATGGTTCTATGAGATGGGTGCATAGGTATTATTATCCCCCTGTTACAGATGGAGAAACAGAGGCACACAAAGCAAAGTGACTTGCCCAAGGTCATGCAATGCGTCAGTATCAGACATGAAATTTCCTGGCTCCTAGACTTGTGGTCAGGACTCAGGCCTCTAGATTAAGCTACCCGCTTTATGCTAATAAACTTCAATTGAATCAACCAGAGAAGGGTTCTAGACCAACCTTCTCCCCCAGCATTGACCCCTCTCTCATCTAAACGCTCCCAGACTTCAGGGAAAGCCTGAGCGGGATCTGAACGTCAAAGCTCAGGCCCATCTCTAAGAGGACAGAGACCAGACAATGTCAACCAAACACACTCATCCTCTCCTCCCTAACCAGGCGTAGGGGGATCACAGGCAGGGGCCAAGAGGAGTTAAAGCAGAAAACCCCTATGGTAAAGAAGTGGTTCCAGTAGTTAAAATCAATGCTGAAGCCCAGCTTTACCAACCTTGCTCTTGTAGAGGCATTTCCGCTTCTCACCAGGGCCCAGTACAGAACAAGATGGGAGAGGAAATGCTCAAGGCTTCTCCAGAGCTCTTCGGCACAGAACGAGACACTGACTGAATTCTACCGTACAAGTCACGATGTCACATGACAGCATTTATGGTGCTGTCATTCGGAGCGCCAGCAGAGGAGGGCATTGCGACCCATGGGCTGCAACAAGAGCCCTCAGTCCTTAGTCCTGGCTGTGCTACAGACCTCCTTTGTGACCTTGGGCGAGTTGTCGATACGCTCGTACCTCAGTTTCCCCATCTATAACAAATCCTACCCTCCTTTGTAAAGTGCTTTGAGATCTACAACTTCTGAGAGCTAAGTGTGATATTATTACCAGTGGTGGTTTCAATGCTTTCCCAGAGGAAATCATCTTGCAGCAATTGCATCTGTACAGCTGAGAACAGAATTTGTTCTACAAAAAATACCATGCAAGTCTATAGCACCTGACATCTAAGGATGGTGGCGTGCTTCACAAACATTGGGAAGATCCTCCCATTTCCTCTTGCGCATTAGATCAGGACTGTTTTCCCTGTCTCACAGGTGGGGAAACTGAGGCACGAGTTGTCCAAGATCATGCATCAAATCAGGGGCAGCGCTCCTGACTCCCCGTGCCTTGCACTCTGCGCAGCCATTCACACAATGTAGAACAAGGATAATAATGGGAACTGAACTGTCCCCTGGGAGAGTTAGATAGGATGAATTAGCTGATGTTTGGCCCCTGCTACAGTCATTTGACCACATTTCCCAGATAATTGGCTGGGAATTACAGCATCATTGAGAAAGCTTTGGCGCTTGTCAGCACTGGGATTATTTATCTGGGGCCTTGCCTACAGGAGAAAGGGTTTGCTGATCTCGCTGTACCAGTGACCCCCCTTAGGGGAGATGCAATTTATACCGGCAAAAGAACTGTTGTGTTGGCTTCGCTTAAATCAGGTCCCTGAACGGGGGAAATGGTTCAAGCTATTCCGGGAAAAGGACATGTTTTCAGGTATAATTGTGTCTACACTACAGCTTTTGCCGGCCCAGCAATATCAGTCAGGGGCGGGGGGGAAATCATACCACTGAGCAACCTACCGACACCAGCATAGTTTTTAGGTGTAGACCGGGCACGAGGTAGCTCTGCCAGTACAGCGGCACTGATGCAAATCCCTTGGATAGATGTGTTGCACCAGTGTAAAACGTGGCTTGCACTGGAGGGGCTGGGTGGAAACCAGTGTAAAAACACTGTAGTGCAAGAGGGTCGCTGTTTACATGGTTACAGCCAGGGCTGACGAGGGGGGGGAAGCCGGTACAAATTACCGGGGCCCGGCGGTCCAGAAGGGGGCCCGGCTTCCCCTCCACCTCTCGTCGGCCCTGTTTAGCCGGTCCAGAGCCCGGTGGTCCGGAAGGGGGCCCGAAAATTTTTTTTCACCGGGGCCCGAACCCGCTCTTGGTGGCCCTGGTTACAGCATGTCTACACTAGGGGTTAGCCCTGGCTGCAGCTACCTCAGTGTGAAAACCCGCCAGTGCAGACCAGGCCTCCGGGGAGATGTAAAAGGAGTGTGCACAGTGCAGGCCTGGGGCCTGTGCTGCATTATCTGGGTCAGCCTGGGATTACTATGCACTTCTGCTTCTCCGTGGAGAGCAGCCAGCCCAGCGATGGTGCTCAGGAAGTAACAAGCCTCAGATCTCATCCTTCTTTCCACATCTCCTTTCTCTCATGCCTCCTTTCCGGAGCTCCTCCCTGTACCTCCTCCTGCAGCCCCGAACTTCTGCCCTCAGTTTCTGGCCCAGGGGAGGTGGAGAGACTGTCCAGCAAAATCCACAGACCGCGGGGGGGGGGTAGGGGCGTGGCGAGGTTGCCAGGGATGGAGGAAGTGGAATGGTTCGTGAGCACGGGCCAGACCCCTGCCTGCATGGATCCCTTGGAGGGTTAGCAGCTGGGGGTGGGGATGTGCCTGGGCACAGCACCAAGGGGGGCAGTAACATTTAAGGTCCCTGAATCTATTGATCGCCCAGCACCAGGAACCGAGAGCACTGGAGGGAAGGCCAAAGCCCTGCCATGCAGAGCCAGTCGAAGCATGGGCTGGCCGCTCCGCCCAGACTGGAACAAAACGTCGGCATATTGCAATTTCCCACGAAACATCGAAATGAGCTTATCAAAGCGCAGCATAGAATCATAGAATCATAGAATCTCAGGGTTGGAAAGGACCTCAGGAGGTATCTAGTCCAATCTCTGCTCAAAGCAGGACCAACCCCAACTAAATCATCCCAGCCAGGGCTTTGTCAAGCCAGCTTTAAAAACCTCTAAGGATGGAGATTCCACCACCTCCCTAGGTGACCCATTCCAGTGCTTCACCACCCTCCTAGTGAAATAGTGTTTCCTAATATCCAGCCTAGTTCTCCCGCACTGCAACTTGAGACCATTGCTCCTTGTTCTGCAGTCCAAACGCTTCACTTTGACTGTCTAGCTTGGTTTAATATCATATAACATGAGAGTCCAAACAATCAGGTGGAATCCGAGCCCTTTGACTTTATCGAAACAAAAGGTAGTGGGGTTTTTTGTCAAACATTTCAGCAAAATCAGTCTGTGCCCATGAAACGGTTTGATTTCGTTGCATCAGATGTTCCAACAGCAGCTTCTCAACCATCTGCGCCGCCGTGTGGCTGGCTTCCTCAGCTCCCTCTGCTCCTGCCGCCCACTCCCAGGAGCAGGCATGGGGGAGGGATTCTGGAAGAAAAACCTCACCCCCATTTCATTCCCACCCTGCTCCACATTCAATCAGCTTCCCGCTCCTGTCACCTCCTTCCCCAAACCTCTCCCTCCTCACCCCATCTTTTCTCATTTTCTTTGTGGCTATTCACAAGGGGGTCACTCTCCCTGAGCTTCAAGTGAACCTCAAATCTCAGAATAAGACTCTGCTCAAACAGCCAGTTTCACCCAGTTTTCTGTCTAAACCAAATGAAACAGCAGATCCCACATGGAGTCATACCCTGGCCTGGGGGTCACTTGAAACATCGCTATAACTCAGCTCAGGGTCACTTGAAACTACACCCTAACTTGGCCTGGGGTCACTTGAAACTGCCCCTAACTCAGCCTGGGGTTACCTGAAACTGCACCATAACGTGGCCTGCGGTTACTGGAAATTGAATCATACCTTGATCTACGGTCACTCAGAACTTCACTTTAACTCAGCTTGGCGTCCCTCAAAACTGCACCTATGGCCACTGTAAGTATAGGCGCCGACTCCGTGGATGCTCCGGGGCTGGAGCACCCACGGGGAAAAATTGGTGGGTGCTGAGCACCCACTGGCAGCTCCCCGCCCCGCGCCCCCCCGCCCCAGCTCACCTCTGCCTCTGCTTCTCCCCTCTCCCCCCCAGCGCTTGCGCCACAAAACAGCTGTTTCCCACGGCAAGCCTGGGAGGGAGGGGGGAGAAGGAGGAACGCAGCGCGCTTGGGGAAGAGGCGGGGCCAGGGCAGGGTTTTGGCAAGGGATCCAATAGGGGCAGGGAGGGGGCGGAGTCAGGGTGGGGGCGGGGCCTGTGACTGTAAGGACTGAAAAGCCTCAATGAACCTGTCAATGAACTGGGCTGAGTCCTGAGTGTGCCATGAAACTCCAGCCAGGCTGCCCATCTCCACTGCCCCCGGGTCTCTCTCCAGCGTTGATACACGGCTCTCTCTCTTGCTCTCTGCTGGAGCAGCTCACAGACCCGGGAGAGGTCGCACAGCACGTCATAACAACAGACGGGGGCGGGCCTGGTGTAACCCTTACACATCCACAGGGACCCTTCGTACTAATGAAGTTGGCGACAAGCTGCCTCTGCGACCCAATGGGCGGGATCTTTCTGTTGCTTCTGAGCAATCTCTCCAGGAGCACACAGCCCTGTCCCGCCCTCTCCTCCATGAGGATCGTGAAGAGCCTTCGGCAGGGTGCTGAGCAGAGGGGGATGGTGATGCAGAGGTGATTGACTTCCCCGTTTCTCGTGGGGCATGCAGGGCCTCTCCCGGCATGGATCTCCTTGGCACAATCTGGGCCACTAGAAATTTGATTTAGCTGGGGATGGGTCCTGCGTTGGGCAGGGGGTTGGACTAGATGACGTCCTGAGGTCCCTTCCAACCCTGAGATTCTATGATTCAATGACATTATCATCATTACTGCTGAGTGCCGGCTGGTGCCAGCCGATAGCCCCCCGAGCAGTAAAGCCGCTCGCAGTGAGACCTGCGGAGTGCTGTCCAAAGTGCTGGAAGCGAAAGAGATGCGCTAGCAGGCTGGGTGCACCGGCCGGCCGCTTGAACCTACCATTATGAGGTATTTGGATCTGTACTGGATGGTCCCAAAGATGCCCAGGATGACAGCCATAATGTGTAAAAAATTAGCCAGGATGGGCACCCACTGATAGCCCAGGAAGTCGAAGATCTGCCTCTCCAGCGCTGCTATCTGGAAAAGAACAAAGGGGGACGGAGCAGAGAATTACTCATTGCACGGCGGCTCGCAGGACATTAAAGGCAAAGTGTATCATGTAATTAATGGGAAATCCCATGGACAATTAGTTACAATAGACTGAAATGTCTGCATGATTCATCGTCCAGCGTCCGGCAAATACATCGCGGCAGGGAGGATTTATTAGGAATGATCCCCAGCTGGAGGTGGAGAAGGAGGGACCGGGGAGACTTGAGCCAGGGGAATGGGCAGCCAAGAGCTCATGGGGTCAGCAGGTAGGAACCTCTCCCCACTGCAGGCCACAGGCTCCTGATTTGTTAAGAGACCGGGAGCAAGTGCCTCCCTAGCAAAACCAATGGACTAATTTACCAAGGGTCCTGGTGGATTCTCCATCACTGGCAATTTTAAAATCAAGAGGGGGTGTTTTTTCTCAAAGCTCGGCTCTAGGAATGATTTGGGGGAAGTTCTCTGGCCCGTGTCATACAGGTTATACAGGTCAGACTAGATAAGTGTGATGGTCCCTTCTGGGACTGGAATCTACGAATCTATAAAAAGGAACTGCAGAGAGTCTGTGAAACTTTCCGGGCACAATTCACACTCAGCTCTCCAGCAGCAAGCCAGGTGCACGGAAGCACTGAGCTGATGGCAAAGACGCATGTTCCCGAATGCCCTTCTTGGCTGCAGGGACAGGAGCTGCAGCTTGTCCCTGGGCAGTGAGAGACAGAGGGATGGGCCAGAGCTGGGAAGTTCAGATCAGGGTCCAAGGCCGCCCGGGGCGGAGGGGGGGGAAGTGGGGCAATTTGCCCCGGGCCCCACAGGGGCCCCCACAAGAATGTCGGAGGCTCCCCCCGCCTCTGCCTTCCCCCATCCCCCGGCGCCTCGGCGCACCGCATCCAGGAGCGGCCCTGGACAGCGCTGCAGCGGCGGGACCTGAGCTCCTCCCGCTCAGAGCCGTGTGGTAAGGGGGCGGGGCTGTGAGCTCAGGTCCCACTGGAGCCCCACCCCCTTACCACGCGGCTCTGAGCGGGAGGAGCTCAGGTCCCGCCGCTGCAGCGCTGTCCAGGGCCGCTCCTGGACGCGGCACGCTGAGGCTCCAGGAGAGGCGGGAGTAAGCAGCATGGTAAGCCCCTCTGAGCCAGACACCCCCCCCCCAGCCCTGACCCCCAGCTCCGAGTCCAGCCCCTCTGAGCCGGGCACCCCCCGACCCAGAGCCCAGCTCCCCACCCAGCCCTGGGCAACAGCAGCGCCACCCCCAGGCAGCGACAGCCCATTGGCACCAACCATCACCATCACCCAGCGACAGCCCATTATGTAATTGCAAATGTACTAAAGCATTGAATGTTTTTAAATCATGTATTTTGTGTATTTTCAAATTATTAAAAATTAATTTTTGAATGTATTTCACTGGTTATTTTTCACATTTCCAAATACACGTTACTAGAGTATTGCAACTTTTTGTTATGGAAGGGGCCCCCGAAATTGCTTTGCCCCAGGCCCCCTGAATCCTCTGGGCGGCCCTGTCAGGGTCCAAACTTCCCCAACGATGGAAGAGGCGCGGATCCATTTTTCTGATTCTGAGCCATCTGATGGGGTTCGTCCTGCAGTGAATTGCATTGAATAGCAATAGGTCCCTGTAAAGAAAGACTCTCCCTCCCAGCAGGACAGGAGGTCTGGAAGCTGCGTTCCATCTCAGAACCGCCACAGCCCTGGTATTAGTGAAGACAATGGCAAAGCTGGGCTCAGGTGGGCTCAGGCAGCAAAGAGCAGTGTACAGAGAGGACAGTGGTTTGGGCATTAGCCTGTGACTTAGCTTACAGGTTAAGAGTAGGGCTGGACTTTGGAGACTCAAGCAAGGGGATAATAATGGAAGTGAGACTTGTCATGTTTAGCTCAGTTAATTCTTCTATTTAAACGTCCTTCAATTACCTGCCGCTCTGCAGCACTGGAGGAGGAGTTGCTCTCCCCAGCTTCCCCCAGTGCACTGGCACTAGGGTCGCTCGCTGAACTCGCCTCTTTGGCACAGACGAATGGGAAAACCCGGACTGAACTGCCAGGGCCAGATTCATCCCTGAGTTTCATTTGCTTCAGGGAAAATTTCCTAGCCCAGACTGAGGAAAACTCTGTGAAATCAATACAGCAGAACAGCTGATATTTTCAAGTGGCTTTCCGAGGGTCCTTTACAGGACAGTAGAAAATTCGAGCTGTGCCACCTTTACCTCCAAATCAGTCTGTTACTTCACGATTCATTGCTCTTTATGTACAGAATTCGCTTTGTTTACCGCCATGATTTTTTAATGGCACTTGTCTTTCATAATCTATAAATAAGGCTTTGATGCGGTTTTAAATATTGCATAGAGATTTCTGCATGCATGTAAAATTAAAGACCGTCTCGGTATTTGTTTCTCTGCCTACTATTCCATTCTTTATTTAGCTTTGTATTTGTTATTGGCTTCAGGCCTATTATCCTTAATTACAGAATTCGTTTTAGAAAAGGTTTAAAAGAGGGGGAAGCCTTGCGAACTCCCAGGTTTCATTGTCAGACACTTAAAACCCCAGCACCTGGAGTCACGGGATTAGATGGGAATCACATCTTTCACATATATATATATATATATATGGTGGCTGTAGAGAAAAGCTTGAAAACATGACTCCTAAATACCAGTGGGCAAGGAAAATAAACACTTTACTAATTTTAAGCCAGTCTCATGTTTTTCGGCCATGATTCCTGGCACTTGGTGTTGGGTCTGTGTCTCTGTCTCTCTCCCCAAGTGTCCCCACTGAAGCTTATACGTGTTGGCTGAAAAGCTTTAAACCCTGATCCTGCAATTTTTTGCATCCTGGAGGAGTGCTGGGCCTGCATGCAAAAAGCGGCAGGAGTCGGGCCTTAGCCTTCAATTCTGTGGGGCAGGAGCATCTGACCGCCAATGCTCTCGACCGTGACTGCGCTAAGGCAAAAAGGGGCCTTTGAAAATGTGTTTCCCTGAGCTGCAGCCTGAGATTTTTAAATGCAAGTATCTGGATCAACCCCATCACTAGGGGGATGCAGTTGCGGGCAAGTCACGTCCCTTCTCCGGGCCTCAGTTTCCCCATCTGTAAAATGGGGACAATGATACCGCCTCTTTTGTGAAGCCCCTTGAGAGCTACTGATGCCACGTGCTATATAGGAGCTAGGGATTATTATTATTATTCTGCAACTGCCCGCATAGTCTACTCCAGCCAGTTGCGAATAACTCTCCCCTTTCCCTGGATTGCCTATGCTTCGTAACATGAGGAAATCTTAGAGCCGGTCGACATGTTTGGACAAAAATGTTTCTTATTCAAAAAAGGGGTGTTGTCAAAAGTGAATGTTTTCACAACCCCCCTCCTCCACCCCATGTTTTTGAAAAAATTACTTGGATTTTCATTAAAAAACCAAAAACCTACATTTGGGGGGATGTTCATTTTCTGGTTAGCGCTAGAAAATACACTTAGACTTTACAATTTTGGATCTAATGGAGAACTAACGGTATAGAATACATATAATACACACGCATGCACGCGCCCACACCCTGAGTCTATCAGCGCTGCATTGAATTTATTGCAAACCTCCTGCATTGCTTCATAAATGACATACAGCATCAGGTAGCAGAGCAGACTCTTAAAACACAATTCTTCTGGTTCTGAACAGAGCTTAGCACAGTCAGGCCCTGGTCCACGGCCCTTAGGCGCTCTTGCAATACAAATAATAAATAATAATACCCTTAAAAATGAAACCAAAGAGCTTTTCTTGGTGATGGAGTAATAGGGCGCGAAGGGGTTTCCACTGCTAAAACCGGTCCCAGTGAACATGCTGCATGCAGATCATGTGATGCATTTGTTGTGTCCGCTCAGCAAACGGAAGCATGAAGGCAGTTCTGTCCAGGGGCTCTGTTCAGATGGGTTTTGCTGCCGTGTCCAGGAATGAATTGCAGCTCAACATTTACGATTAACTAGATGGATTAAATTAACTACCAGGCTCTCTCTCACCCCTTTACTGCTTGCCAGAGACCCCCCGCAGTTCTAGCCCAACCTCTTTATAACACACATTGTTACCACAAGTCTTGAATTTGGCGTTGTTCTTAAAGTCCCAGGGTTGGAGGTGAGAGATTCTCCGTTTCATTTCAGAGGAGTAAAGACCAGCTTTGCAAAGGTATTTAAGCACTTAAAGGTGCAGACAGGCACCTAGTGAGATTTACAAACATCTAAGCAGGTTGGGGGCTTGTTTCGCATTGAAAGTCGATTGGAGGTAGGTACATAACTCCTATAGACACATCTGTAACTCCCAGTAGGCACCCATAGGGGAAATGCCATTTCACAGAAACCAAAACTACCAGCAGGAACGTGTCAATGTCAATGACATTTTGTTTTGATTTTTGTTTTAAAAAAAAAAAAGCATTTCCATACGGTTGAGATGTTCCGTTTGGGCATTTTTGGCAAGGCCCATTTCAACTTTTCATTTCAAAATGACTTTTTGTTTTAAATTTTATTTTATTTTCTCGTATAAAAACATTTACAAATTGAAACATGTCACGGTAAGAACGAAATGTTTTGATTGACCTAAAATTATTTTTGTTTCATTTCACTTTGCAGGGGACAGGTCAAAATTCTTTGTATTTTGTTCTGATCTGAAAGGAAAATGAATTTAGAAATGGCAGAATTTCCCATGGAACGGCAATTCCAGTCTCTGCCTAGCTCTGCTAAATTCCTTTGTAGACCTGGCCCCAGGTTTCTAGCCCCTGTGGCGGCAGAGAAAAGCTGGCACATCTGAACATTAAAGGCTCAGAAACTTAAAAGTATATATATATACACACAGAAACATATTAATCTCATGATTTTTAAGGCAATTTCATGACTGTTTGTGGCCAGCTATGATTTCTGAACGCTCGGAGCGGGCAGTACATCAAAGGGTCTCCCTTTGCATTTCTCCGCAGCCCATTTTGAAAGAGGAAGTACACTGGGGTCACTAGTTGCTGCTCAAA